TAAAATTAATTATTAAATGATATTCAAGTTTTTCTTCGGTAAAACTATGCCGTCTAACTGTTAATAAATGCTTGTATATCAAAAATGATCTTTCACAATCAACCGAAGTTATTGGGGAAAATTTAAAAGAGCTCGTGATAGTTTTCATCTAGCTCAACTGCTTCCGGTTTTCCTAACAATACTTTGTTAATTTTAATTAATACTTTTAGGTCCTTGTTTTTGGAGAAAATATCATTTTATTTTGAACGGCTGATTATTAAAAGGTAAATAGGTATTCTAAAAATCAAATTTTTTGGAAGTTAAAAAAAAATTGATTATTTCCTTAATTTTTCTTGAATCCAAAACTTGTCTGTACAATATATGTAATTAAGTACCTAAGCTTTAATCTCCAAAAGATGAGATCTTAATCATAATATGAATCTACCCATTCTACACTTTAGCTACAAAATGACTACATCAGTTTCATCTTATGTATTTCTAGAGTATTAACCTTTTTCTGATGAGCTGTTCTTTTGTTTTTAATTTTGTCCCTTTATGTCTAGGAATATATATATTTTTTATACTAATTCACTTTTTAAACAAAAACTTTCAGATAAAAAGCATATTTTGTGTCTTAGATTCTGAGCGGAACGAGGAATGTATTGGTTTTACAATGATGTTTATTTATTTTTATTTTTTATTCTATAAACACTTTTTCTCTCTCTAAACTTGCTCAAAAATATCAAGTGTAACATCTTTTCTGAAAGGTAATGTTACTGAGCTAGTATTTTAGAGAGGTAATTTTTCGATTTTTGAAACGGTACTCGAAATAAAAGCGATTAAAGAAGAAAAACGTACGATTTCAAGATTTTATAATATTAAGCAGTTACGGACGACGTTTTCTACCAGAAATAATGCTTCAAATGAAAAATAACAAAAAATCTGTTGTGTTGTATTTAAGATTTTGTTCCTTACAGTTTAAAGTTCGGAAAATTTTAGCTATTTTTGAGCTATTTATAGACATTTTAATTTTGGTAGTTTTTTTATTGCAATTCGATTAAAAACATTCGTAATAACTTGAAATTTGGGCTGTTTACTTGTATTAGTTTTACCTAGACATAGTAAAATTTTCAAAACATTTGAGTGACTTTTTTCTTTTTAAATCTAAGATTTGATTTTTTTCCACAAGAATTGAAATTTATCTATCATTTTATCAATTATTTCAACTAAAAATGACAAATGAGTTGATATAAATGTTAATAGTTAATTCATTCACAACCAATCTATATTTAATAATATCAAGTATTTTTATGTCACGTTGTGCGTCGTCTTCTGCGAGCTTTTCAATTACCTTTTGGTATTTTATAAAATATTCCGCGTAGTATAGCAGCGACTATCCATGTTCCCCACCTTAATATTACTGTGATGGGAGGAGTAAAGGTGTATTTTCCATAAATTAAATGTGTTACATCGTTATAACTTAAAAGTTATCGAGGATAACGATGTGATTACATAAACTATTTCTAATGTTTATATCACATATTACATATAATACGTAGGTGTCTTAAATTATAAAACAGTTAAGCTGTGTAGCTAATTTCGCGTCCTACCACTCTTACACCGACTAATTTTTTTCGGGACAGCGCGCGCATCATTCATTGTAATATGCAACAAATACACATTTACGGTTAAATATGCAAAAATATGGAAAATAAAAATTAGCTGCAGTGGATTCCAATTACTATGATCCGTGAAGATTATTAACAAAAATATAAAACTTGAAAAGGAAAACAATATGCAAAAACATACAAATCCAGGCTCTAGTCATAACTCATAAGTCATAACATACAACACTTAAGCAAGCTTAAGTGAATGAATTCATTAATTTAATTCTAAACTTCAAAATATTTTATTGCTTGAAAAGAAATTGAACCAACTATTATTATGTTACGTAATTTATTCCGTCGAGGTCTTCGCCCTTGCTACATAATATAGTATTATCAAATCAGTTTGAAAAATACATAACCGTGAAGATGACTTAACATTTATATCAATCAATTCAATCTATTCTTAATTGTCGACATGTCAAATATGGTTGACTTCGAACGATGCAAATAATTTTACTTAACAAAATTTTTGTAATTTTTTTATTAACACACAAGTGTTTAAAGAAGACTGTTCCGTGTCTGAACCACATTTTAGATTATTTACGCGTAAAATGTTAACAAGCGTGGTTTTTTGTTTGGTTTTATTTATCACCACCATCGTTACAAGGGCGGCAAATATATTGGTTTTCATGCCATTACCGATTAAAAGCCATGTCCGCGGATTCCAACCGTTGTTCGAAGAATTGTCAAACCGAGGGCACAATATAACCGTAGTCAGTTCATTCCCTCTAGATCATCCAGTTGCCAACTATACAGATATAGGGCCTTTTATTGACAAAACAAGAGGTTCGTGAACGTTCAATTAAGTATTTACTATTTACTTACAAGTTAAAATGTACACAGCTGAAATTAAAAATTAAAATGATATAGGTAAAACATTAATAATATGTACCTTCATTTACAATAATACATACTATATTTATGACAAACTCKATAAATTTTGTTTAGCTACCAATTCATGATTTTTTTAATTTATAATTTTTATTTTTATACTAAACAACAGTGATTTTCTGTTATGTGATAGTCATTACTCATTAGTAATAATAATATCAACTCTGCTGTACAGTAGGTTACAATAGTAGGTATATTATGTTAAGGATATTTTATGGTGTTAAATTTAAATTCAATGATATAATATATCTATCAAGAAAAACAAAATAATTTACATTCCTCACTCCGCTCAGAATCTAAAATTAAAATTTGGTTTTTTGAAGCAATTTAAAAAAATATATCGTGTACATAATACAATTTTCACTGAATGTGTTTATATTGGCAATTCTTATTAACACTATATGGTAATAAATATTACTATAATTTTCTAAATAATAATTAATATTAGTTTTTTACTATTGCTGATAAAATATTTTCCTCTCTAACCAAAAACTAAAATATAATTCAATGTTTCTTATAAGTTGTTGTTGGTGGAAATTAAAAAATAATTTATGCGTAAAGTCACAACAATTTTGTATAAGTGATTGAAGTTAAAATGTTGACAAAATTCATCAAATCATTAAAATTGGAAAAATATTTCTAGTTAGAAAATTATAAGAATGTTCCTATGTATGAAAAAAAAAGCCATGGGAAAAATAAGCCACGGAAAAARAGCCAAATTACAATAATTAAATATATATCAATTAAAATTAAAGTATTAAATAAGGTATTATTTAAAAAAWTTTTATACATTATTGGTCATATTGTATACATATATATTTAATTATTAATGCACAGATTATATGTTATTATTTATTATTCAATATATATGTATATAATAAGTAATAAATATATTTTAGATTCTAAACAGCAATGAATGTATTGATTTTATTAAACAAAAAGTTTAAATTAAAAAAATATATATAAATTTATTTATTTAAAGATAGCATGTATTTCATACTGCAACATGTACATTTAAAAAAGAATCACCCTATACAAAGTATATACATTATACTTATACATATCTAGGGTGTAAGACATAAATYAATTGATTTCAAGATAATATCCACAAAATATTATATTATTTTTATTCAATGTATATTATAATATTAACAATTTTATTTTTATATATGAATACGGATAATACAGTATGATCAACTGTGTTAAAAATTTTAAATTAATTAACATATAACCTGTGTATGAATAATTATATATATATATATGTATTMAATATGACCAATGTTTAAAAAAATTTAATAATAGGTACTTAAAATTTTATTTTTTTTTATATTTAATTATAATTATTTTTTATATATTTGACCAATAATGTGTAAATAATTTTTAAATAATACTTTAATTTTAATAGTTATAGGTATATTTAATTATTGTAATTTAACTTCTTTTTTCGTGGCTTATTTTCCATATACCTTTTTTTCTGTGGATTATTTTTCCCGTGGCTTTTTTTTCCTTGGAATTTTTTTCTTGGCTTTTTTTCCGTTGATTTTTTTTCCTGGCTTTTTTTTATAACTACCGGTTTATCTCATGTTTGAAATTTTTACAAGAGATTACATTTAACAAAAAATAGTTTACCAAAAGTCAAACTAATTTTTACGAGCGTTTAAATTGGATATTCCTATMACTTGTTAATTATAACGTTCTCATACGAGTCATACGACAATTTCTTATCTATTTTGTTGTCACCTATTCAAAATCTATTAAYCATAGGCACTTACTTGAAATTTTCATCTAACGTTTATTTTATAATTTTCTATACATTATATAACAGGGGCGTCATTATTTTTATTTTTATTTTTTTTTGGGAGGGATGCAAGGTGTACATTTGCATCAACTTTTTTTAAACGCCTTCTTTGGCCTGTCAACAATAAATATACATGCGCTGATACATCTAATTGCTTTACACTATATATATTTTATATTTTTTCGTTATTTAATATAGAAAAATATCATGTTAATGTGTTTAATTTATTAATTAGTAATTATATAACTATTTATTGTGTGCCATGTGACATGTGAGTAGGGTACTCATACAATAAATTACAGGTTTTATTTAGCTAGCTTATATTATTATGTATTTTGAGTAAGTGAGTGCCAGATTGTTGTGTGCTAGATTAGGTTCGGTTAGGTATTTAATTATTAAGGTACTTGTAAATTTATTTATCAAGTATAAATACCACTGGTAACCACAAAATAAGTATAAACATAAATACAT